GACTTTAAGCTTAAATATCTTAGCAATTATCTTATTAAATTTAATAATTATTTTTTTATTTTAATTCTTTATAATTTTAAAATTAAAATAAAAAAATTTTGAGCAAGTTTGGTTAATTAGTTGTTGAAATATTTTAATTTAAAAGTTAAAAAAATTTCACTAAAAATGATTTGTCTCTTTTCTATTAACTCTACCCCATATATCTCTAGCCTCTTTGGCCAATCAAAGAATGCCAAAATCACATAACTAAGATTCATGTATTGATCTGCAAGATCAAACAATCTTACCCTGTCTAGATAGATAAGTTTTTTTTTTGGCACAATAATTATTGTTATTAATAATTTCATAATGCACTTTTGTCATATTAATGTTTTTGCTTTTTGTTTATAGCATTTATTGGAATGTTTCTACAGAGTTAACTTTTTTTTTTTAGTATGTTCTCAGAGATATATTTAGTACTTTCTTTAGTATTTTTTTTGAGCACATTTAGCATTGTGTATTTTAGAAACTTTCGGGCATTAGTCTTTATACACTTCCAGCAATTGCAAGGTGTTCGGTATTGTAAATTTTCTGGTACTTGTCCTTAGTATATTTAGTATTGTGAATCTTTGGTGTTTGTTCTTGGGCATATTCGGTGCTATAAAACTTTTAATATTTGTCCTTGGCACTTCTAATGCTTGTCCTTAAGCATATTCAGTACTGTGTAATAATTTTTAGTATTTGTTCTTAAATATCTTTAGCCATTATATGTTGAATTATTTTCTTAAATACTTTTGGTATTATGTGATAAGTTTCTTTTTTGGGCACTTTTGGCATTATGTAAAGAATTCTTTGATATTTGTTCTTGAACACCTTTGGTATTATGTGATGAATTCTTTTCTTGGACACTCTTGGCATTATGTAGTGAATTATTTTTCTTGGGCACATTCGGCATTATATAGTAAATTCTTTGGTATTTGTCTTTAAACACCTTTGGCATTATATAAAGAATTCTTTTCTGAGAAACTTTTGGTATTATGTAAAGAATTCTTTGGTGTTTGTTCTTGAACACCTTTGACATTGTGTAGTGAGTTTCTTTCTTGAGCACTTTCGGTGTTATGTGAAGAATTCTTTGATGTTTGTCCTTAAACACCTTTGATATTATATAGTGAATTCTTTCCTTAGACCTTTTTAGCATTATGTGAAGAATTATTTCCTTGGCACTTTCGGCATTATGTAGTAAATTCTTTGGTGTTTGTTCCTGAACATCTTTGGCATTATGTGGAGAATTCTTTCCTTGAGCACTTTTGGCATTATGTGAAAAATTCTTTGGTGTTGTCTTTGAACATCTTTGGCATTATATAGTAAGTTCTTTCTTAGGCACTTTTGGCATTATGTGAAGAATTCTTTTCTTGGACACTTTTAGTATTATATAGAGAATTTTTTGGTGTTGTCTTTAAACACCTTTGGCATTATATAGTGAGTTCTTTTCTTGGGCACTTTTGGCATTATGTAGAGAATTCTTTTGTTATCCTTAAACACCTTTGGCATTGTATAGTAAGTTCTTTCCTTAAAACTTTCAGTATTATGTAGAGAATTCTTTGGTGTTTGTTCTTAAACACCTTTGGTATTATATAGAGAATTTTATTCTTGGACCCTTTTGGCATTATGTAAAGAATTATTTTTTTAGACACTTTTAGCATTATGTAGTAAATTCTTTGGTATTTGTCTTTGAACACCTTTAGTGTAATGTGAAGAATTCTTTTCTTAAACACTTTTGGTGTAATGTAAAAAATTTTTTCTTTGGGCACTTTTAGAGCTATGTGAAGAATTTTTTGGTGTTGTCCTTGAACATCTTTGGTGTTATATAGTGAGTTTTTTCCCTGGGCACTTTTGGCATTATATGGAGATTTCTTTGTTATTTGTTCTTAAACACCTTCAGTATTGTGTGATGAGTTCTTTCCTTAGAACTTTCAGCATTATGTGGAGAATTCTTTGGTGTTTGTCTTTAAATACTCTTAGCATTATGTAGAGAATTTTATTTTTAGACCTTTTTGGAGTTATATGAAGAATTATTTTTTTGAATACTTTTGGTGTTATGTAGTAAATTCTTTGGTGTTTGTCTTTGAATACCTTTAGTATTATGTAAAAAATTCTTTCTTTGAACACTTTCAGTATTATATAGAGAATTCTTTTCTTGGGCACTTTTGGCATTATGTGAAGAATTTTTTAGTGTTGTTTTTGAATACTTTCGATATTATATGATAAGTTCTTTCCTTGGGCACTTTTGGCATTATGTAGAGAATTCTTTGGCATTTGTTTGTAAATATCTTTAGCATTGTGTAGTGAGTTCTTTCTTTAAAACTTTCAGCATTATATGGAGAATTCTTTGATGTTTGTCCTTAAACACCTTTGGCATTATGTGGAAAATTCTTTTCTTGGACACTTTTGGTGTTATGTAGAAAATTATTTTCTTGAACACTTTTGGCATTATATAGTAAATTCTTTGGTGTTTGTTTTGAACATCTTTGGCATTATATAGAGAATTCTTTTTTTGGGCACTTTCGGTATTATATAGAGAATTCTTTGGTGTTGTTTTTGATCAGCTTTGGCATTATGTAGTAAGTTCTTTTTTTAGATACTTTTGGCATTATGCAGAGAATTCTTTGGTGTTTGTCCTTAAACATCTTCGGCATTGTGTAATAAGTTTCTTTCTTAGACACTTTTGGCATTACATAAAGAATTCTTTGGTGTTTGTTTTTAAAGATCTTTGGCATTATTTGGAAAATTCTATTCTTGGACCCTTTTGGCATTATGTGAAGAATTATTTTCTTAGGCACTTTTGGCATTATGTAGTAAATTCTTTGGTATTTGTCTTTGAACACCTTCGGCGTTATATGAAAAATTTTTTCTTAGACACTTTCAGCATTATGTGGAAAATTCTTTGATGTTTGTCTCTAAACACCTTTGGTGTTATGTGATGAGTTTCTTCTTTGAGCACTTTTAGCATTATGGAGTATTCTTTGGTATTTGTCCTTGAACACTTTCGGCATTTGTGGTAAATTCTTTCTTTAAACACTTTTGGTGTTTTGTAGTGAATTCTTTCCTTGGGCATTTTTGGTGTTATGTAATAAATTCTTTGGTGTTTGTTTTTGAACACCTTTGGTATTATATAAAAAATTCTTTCCTTGGGCACTTTTGGTATTTTTGGCATTATAGAATTTTTTTGATGTCCTTAAATATCTTGTTCTTGGCAATTTTGAGTGTTTTTTTTGTATTTGTTTTTGCACTGTATTTTTTTTAATTTTGTATAGTAATCTTATACTTTTTTAAAAAAAAATTTGTAAAAACTTCTGTTTTTTGCATAATTGAATTTAATTGACCAATTTTTAATATTTAGAAAATTAGATTAGGTTTTGGGTTGTATGAATTTTTCTGACTAGCTGATAACCTGAAAAATAGGTCATATAATCTTTGCTTGTTTTAATTAGCCAATAGGCCAGAAATATATAATTTATATATCTCTAACTAGAGATATATAGAAAAACTCTTGGGCAAATATTGTACAGTAGTGGTTCTTCAACAATTACTCAAGTTATTATGATGCATTAAACCATCCAACTATTTATTTGAAAAAGCAAAGAATTCAATATCAGAATAAGTATTTTTCTATTGAAATTGTTGTACAAGTAATTTTGCCTTTACTTAAATAATATATTATAAAACAGCTTTTTAACTATTTCTTCATTCTCTTATCTATTCAACCAAGGTAGCTTCTAAAGCCAAATACTTAGGAGATGCACCTTTATTTAATTTTTTTCTATCTGGTTGTGCTTTTAAAAATTGATCTTTTTTGAATATCTAATCCTAAAGTTGTTTAGTTTTAATATTAAATTTAGCAGCCGTTTTAGTTTTACTATAACCATTTTTATAGTAAAAAATAGCTACAAATTTTTCACATACATTCTATTAACAACACAATTTATTTGTCATTCATGCATGATCTACAGACTTATTTGTACATATAGAAAAAAATTGTATAATGAAAACAAATTACTTGTACTTTATTCAAAAAATTGTGCTTACACAATTTAGAGGCTCTTAATTATTAATAAATTTTACAAATGTAATAGTTCTTTATATGAATTATTAAAAATTCTATTTTATGAAACATATTGTGTTCTTTTCACATAACCAATTTAATAGTTTTTATAAAAAAAATTTTATGATTCTGATTGGTCAATTAATTCTCCTTCCAAAGTATCCCCCTTGTATAGTACCCCCCTCCTCACACAGTACCCCCGGGTACTATTCAAGTCAGCTGAGGGGATTTTTTGAATAAGACCGGGGTCTTATAGGCAGCGCTATACGGTACTAGTTACTTAGATCACCAAACCACCTTCCCGACCTTTCAAAATATTCACTTCTCATCTAGTTTCTTGAACTTCCGTATCTTATGTATCTCTCATTAAAAAACATGTTTTTTGTTTCGTCACGTATTACAAAAAAAAATGATTTTTACTAATAGAAGTATTTTAAAATTTACAATTGACTGTATTAAATAAATGATCATTGCCAATCATATTTATTCAAATTTCAGCCAATTAAACCGAACTTCTGCTATGCTTGATAACGATAAGCTGATGTTAGTGGACGTTCTAGAATACTAACTAAACAGTTACATAATCTTAGCATAAATTAGCATATAATGATGTTATTTTAGTATTAATAAAAGTATGTGAACTTTTTTCTTCAAAATGAGTATGTCAAATGGTTCAAGTGCAAGATCTTCAACCCCTACTCACGAAGCAAAACCTGCTTCGAATTTTAGTGATACCCGCCTAAACGATTTAATGCCCTCCTTCCATCTTGAAAATCTTAAAAACACTGTACCAAACACTCTATCAACCACTGCCTCAATTTTATTCTCTCCTTTGACTCCTCGAGCAGTAAAGGGTGATGCTGTGACAATAATTACTGAATTCGCTCCTCAAATGATGGAACGACGCGTACAGCAATATATCAATACTCGTCAAACTGAAAGTTCGAACCAACTTTCTTTTCCCACGGATGAACTTTTGGTGACTACAGATATACCAGAATCTAAAGCTCCTTTATCTTTAATTCAAGGCTATAGAGCAACCTTTTCAGAGACCGAATCAATAAATAACAGAAAAAGAGGAAAACATAAACGAAAGGTTAAAGGCTTTTTATCTGCCCCATCAGATGGGGTATCCGATTCTGGTATGTTGTAATCTATTTTTTATTCATTTTCCTATAATTTATTAATACATTATAGTATATACTTAAAGAATTGACCTTTCAAAGACTTGATATATATTTTTTATAGATAATGAATATAAACCATTAAATCAACTAATTGCTGATCGTGATAGAGTTGTTAAAGAAAATGACAGATTACGTTTGCATGAGGTATTGTGCACAACCTTTATTTTTGAAATAATTAATATAATCCAAAAGTAATTAAATTTACTAATAATCTTTAAATTTTGAAAAAAGTTACGAATGATAACCGACATTAAAAGAATTGAAAAGGAAATTGCCGAATTGACCACAAAAAAGCTTGGTCTTGAGTCTAATCTTACAAATTTTGGCATCAGAAAAGCTGAATTGACTGACCAATGTAAGTTTCAAAGCTTTTTTTTTTTCTTTTTAATTCATATATTAATGACTTAAATTTGAATTAACAAATTTTGGTAATTTAGTGGAAGATTTGAACGAAAAAATCGCAAATTTTTGCCAAGAAGATAATAATGGTCAAAATATGCGTATTAGAAAAGGTCAGTATATCCATATAACTTCTTTTTTTTTTTTTTTTCTAAAAGCTAAAGTTTACAATTAAATTGGACTTTATAAATTTAGGAAAAACCACTTTAAGATCGCAAGAGCCAGGAACTTGTATAAAGGTAGACAATATTTACATTCGATACCACCCTTATTTCAATCTTTAATGTTTCTTAATGTTTCTCCATTTTATTATTTTTTATTCTTTGAAGACTTTGGAAGGACACGATGATATGATTTTATGTCTTGACTTTAACAAATCTAATGGTACTCTTGCTAGTGCATCTCTGGATAACACTTTGAAGTTATGGGATTTAGCGAATTATCAATGTTTAGGAATCCTAGACGGTCATAAGGGTTAGTTCAAGAATTCTATTTTTTTTAAGATTTAATTTTCATTTATCATCCAAAAGTATCTAATTTTTATTTTTTTTCATCATAGGCATTGTAAATTGCATGCGTATGGACAGGAATCATTTGATTACAGGGTCACGTGATTGTACCATTAGGCAATGGGATATCTCAAAAGTGTCACCACCTACTAAAGTCAAACACGTATCTGAGATAAAATTTAATCAAAATACAACGTCCAATGAAAATGGATTGTCTTTTGTTGGAGACGATTGCTGGCTGGCAACTTTAGAAGGACATACAGGGAGTGTCACGTGTTTGCATTACGAAAATGGCTGCCTGGTACGAGTATTTAATAGTATAAAGAGCTTTGTTTACAAAATGATTATAATCAGATTAGATTAAATAGATTAAATCCTGTTCTTCTTACGAATTAAGGTATCCGGTTCATCAGATAAGACCATGAAACAATGGGATATGGAAACAGGACAATGTATTTTAACAATGGACATTTTGTGGGCCATGTCCAGCTCAAAAGCTGAACTTAGGCAAGTAGGTTTTTTCTCAGGCGAATACGCGCTAGAATATGGAGATTTTGTCGGAGCTCTTCAATTTCGAGATGTTGGTTTGGCAAGCGGAACTGAAGATGGTGTAATTCGAATGTGGGATTGTATCCTATTACTATTTAATGTTGCGATATTTGTTATTTTATTTTTATTTCTACTTTACAATTTCAATCCATAACTACACAATTGATTTCTAACAGTAAGAACAGGTCAGGCTCATCGCACATTACTTGGTCATACAGGTTAGAATCTATAAATTCTAGACAATTATTATTTTATCGGCCTTGTGATAATTACGTTTTTGTTCTATAGGCCCTATAACGTGCCTTCAGTTTGATGATTTACATGTCGTAAGTGGAAGTATTGATAAAAGTATAAAGGTATCTATCTATCTATTATATTTTTAATTATAATATGCTTATATTATAATATATGTCAACCAGTTAATGTTTCATTGATTAATTAAACCTTTTGAGATATGGGACCTAAGAACGGGATCCGTAATTGATACTTTTACATATGATTACGGCGTAATCAGTTTACAATTTGATCCTCACAAAATTGTCTGTAGCGCTGGCACTAATGACATAAAGGTGAGGTATTGTTTTATGCTTATTAATTTATAAATTATTAAATTGGTTCACTAACAATTATTAATTTGATAATTATAGTTATATAATAGAGCTTCGTTTCAGCAGTCCAAAATCGAGGGGCACACGCAATCAGTACGGTGCATAAGATATAAGGGTTCAATCTTATCTTCAGGTGGTCAAGACAAACTTATAAAGATATGGACGCTATAATTATTCAGCTAATAGCAAAAAAAAAAAAAAACAAGAAAACTCGAGCTTCCCTTGTTATAAAATAAAATAAAGGTATGTCTTAAATAATGCATTACATTTTATACCTAGCCGTTAATATCTAGTGATGTGATTGTTCGAAATCCTAACTTAATATTGTCCTTTAACGTCGCTTATGGTTAATACTACAGCAATGTTAATATTTCAAACATTCACATTGTTAACATTTTTGGCTGGACACTACATCATACTTTAAACCTGATACTAATTGTGTGTGCTCGTTTTAAGGTGGAGATTGGTCACATTTGATGAGATGAGATTGAAGCTCTGATTACATAAATTATTATTTACTAGTCTGAATAAATTATAGCTATATATAAAATCCCGAGATATTTTAGAAATTAAACAATTAAATTAGTATCAATACAATTCGATAACTCATGTTTATTTTAGGTTTTGTATAAAAAAAAAATGCAGAATATACAATTTAAAATATTTTTAAATGTATATTTTAGCTTATTTAGAGGTTTATAATATATATATATATAATATTTTTATGTAAATAAATCGTTTATACTGTATTATATAGTATATATAAGTTATATTATTGTATATAATACAGTATTAACTATAACTTATCGTTATATAAAGATTTTTTATTTATTTTTAAAATATTATTTTATTTAAATTTTTTACTTGGCATGGATTTTTTATTTTTTTTTTATATATAATACTTTTATAATTAGTGTATTACTAATTATATAATAAAATATACAAAATATATAATTAATATTTTAATAATTTAAAAAATTAATAAAGGCGTAATGACTTAGTGAAGTGGTTAAGTTGTTATTCTTCAAGTAGCAGTTCAAAAGTTTGAATTTCTCTAGAGCAATATCCAAATTTTCAGTATATTATTGTAATTATAATTATTTTCAATATTATTAGATTAGAAGATTTGTAACTTGAGTTATATCTAGACCTCCGCATAGGCCTGGGCTATACTTGCTGGCAAAACACGGACAAATCCCAAATTCAAAAAAAACAATTGTTATTTGTAAAAGATTAAATCAAAAAAGTAATCTTAAAATTTTGCAAATATATTATTTACAGCAATAAGAATATCTACTACAGTGTGGGCATCCTTAAATCAACATATAAAACACAAAATTTTTAAAAGCTTATAAATAAAAAATTAAGTAGATGGTAACAAAATCTCTTCATAAAATAATAAAATCAAATCTAAAGAACAAAGTTATGAAGTTTATTTTTTTAGTTAATTATAATTTTATTTGGTTGAATTGTTTTAATGTTAGTATAGAAACCAAAATTTGGTTATATATATATAAAAACATAATAAAATTTTAAGGTATTAGCCAATCAGAAGTTAGTATTCTGTCTCAAATTTGGCCACTTTAATAAAAGTTGTTGGTTTAAGAATGTCTGCACTGTATTTGTTTAAACAAAAATTATTAATAAAGTTTTTAAGAAATTAATTTGGGATAAATTTGGGATTTGGGTGCGGACAAATCCCAAATATAGTAATTTGGAATTTTGCCAACATGTATAGGCCTGGGCTACCTTGCTATAAGGGCTAGGCTAGAGTGTTAATTTCTGGGCTCTAGGGTAAAGTAAAGGCTTAAAAATAAAGCCTTTATACAAACAGGTAGAGCTAGGGTATTACTACGGGTACCTGTTAGTTGTTCACTATAGAATAAAAACTTATAAGTTATAATTCTGGTTAAAATTGTTGATCACTTAACTAGATCTAGAGTAAAATAATTTAAAATTTGGCCAAATGATTGACAATTTTGACCTGATAGGTTTTGATTCACCAATATACCTATTTTTATAAAATTCTATTAAACTCAAAAAATAATTTTCCATTCTGAAAATATGAAAAAAATTTCTTGTATATTATTTTTTCAGATTTTTTTGTATCTACTGTATTTCTCCTTATTTATATTTATTTAATATAATTCAATAATTATTTACTAAATAAAATAATTTAGCTAAGCTTCATCGGGAAAGTAAAAACATTAATAATCTGTAGTAATCTTCAAATTTATCAAATAAGTGCAGAATCTTGTTTAAAAAATTGCAAAGATCTTCAAAATTTAGATTTTTGCAGTTCTTCGCAGATTTTTTGCCAAAAATCTGTGCAAATACTGTATTTAAAAAGTATAATCTTTGCAGATTATAACAGGCGGTATCTATTATAATCTGCGATAATTCCCAAAATTATAACTACTTACCTGCTAGTAAAACACAAGGAGAAAACAATAAACAAAACAAAATGCTAAATAAATAAACAAATAAATAAAAATCACAGTTTCTTTTTATTTTATTTATAGCTGTTTTATTATTTCTAGGACACCTATAAAAAATTAGCCGAAAAAAATTTTCAGCTGGTAATTTTTTTGGCATGATTAGTATATAAAAAATATTCGTTCAATTTAATTTACTGTAATATTGATATAATATCTTCGTCATAAATTAAATATATTTTTAAATTCGTTTAATTTTTATTTACTGTAATATTGAAAAATTACTATAATAAATATAATACCTGTTCTACATACAAATAATTTTATTATTATAATAACATTATTAAATTTTATTTGAATGCTTGCTCAATATGTTTAGCAAGTTTAACTTGTACAAAAGTTTATGAAAAAAATTGTTCTTGTCAATTAATAAAACTTGACAAGAAATATAAAACTAGCTTTTATAGTAAATATATTATATGAATAGGTGCTAATATTAAAAAAGTTGAATATGATCAAGAATTCATCGATTGGACTTAAAATTCAGCTAAAGTCAAAATTCTAAAAGATCAATATTTAATTAATATTTGTCGAAAATGTGGTAAAAATTATGATCAACACAATCAAAGCGAAACAGTAGATCTAACAATTAAAGAATCTTTATCTTTCTGAATTAGATATTATTAACATAAAAAAGCCTAGATTAGGAGCTATTAATATGAAAGACTAAATCAGAAGCTATTAATACGAAAGAGCCTGAATTAGGAGCTATTAATACAAAAGAGCCTTTTATAAAATTGCTAAAAGTTTATAAAATAAAATTATATATAAATATATAAAATATTATCTTTTTGTACGTATATTCAAGTCAGTGTATAGCCCTCCAAATTGTTGTAAGACTAATATTATGTCCCAATCAAAGTTCTATCTCGGATTTACTAGTTAGGTTTTTTTTATTAAAACTTGAAGATAATTTATATTATTCATGTTTAAAGAACATGGTTTTTCTGAAAGCGATAGAAGTTTTTTAATACAACTATATCTTTGAAAATACACAAGAATCTGACTTATAGAAGACCTGCTAACACCTAAGTGTTTTGCAATTTTTCGAGTTAAAAGGCCTTCCAAATTTTTTTCAATAAAATATTATATTTTTTTTTGAATTCAACAAGAGATATACATAATTTTTTATTTATATTAGCCATATTAATTGAATTTATTATATGCCGAAAATATTACTGGCCGAAAATTTCTTTCAGCTAATTTTTTACAGGTGTCTCAGGAATAATGAAAACAACTATAATTAAAAAAAATTAAACTATTTAAATTTTAAAATGGTTCTTTTAATTTTTTTTTTTTTACTTTTTTTAGACTTTAATGCACCTTGCAAGAACATATCCTTAGCAACGTTAAATCTTAAAGATAATAATCTTGGATCTGAAGGAGGAAAAGCTATTTTTTAAATTTTTATTTTAATTTTTTTTTATTTTTTAAATTATTTATTTAATATTATGTTTTTTTTTATTTTTCTATTTCTATTTTATTTTATTTTTACTTTCTTTTTTTTATTTACTTTTTTTCGTTTTTAAATATTTATTTTTTTATTAGACCAATATGATCAGCCAATCATTTTTCAGATTAACGATCATACTGTATAAATATTTTTTTCTATTTTTTTTCATTTTTTGTTATATTTAAAAGTCACCAACGTCGTTGGAGCCTGGAAATACTAGAACTTGTACTAAAGATAAGTTTCTAGTTTCTTGCTTTATTTATTTATTTATTTATTATTATTCACTTTTTTCTTTTATTTTAGGCTTGCGCTTTGCTGGAGTGCTGAAAAAATTAGACACCTAAGAATGTAGATGAGGAATCTGTTGGAGCCGTCACTAGAGCTATTATTGGTGCCATTGTTAGTGTGTGTTCATGTTTTCTGGTATAAGATATTGCTTGATTCAGTTAATTTCTTCGTTCTTTTTTTTTTTTTACAATACTAACGTTTCTTTTTTTTTTTAGAACAAATACAGTATAGAACATAGTGTAATAGTTAGAATGATGAAGTAGGTATCAAAAATCTGCAAAGATGAGAAACGCAAGTGGAAAAAATAGTATTGGATATTGTTATAGTCATGGAATTGGAGTTGAAAAGGATAAACATAATACTAATATACGATAATATATATATATATTTTTTATTACAGTACTACTGTTTTTTTTTTTTTAGAATGAAACAAACATAGTATGGAACATAGCACAGATGGAGCACGATATATATATATGTTTTTTTAATATAGTACTAATGGCTCTTTTTTTCTATATTACAGAATATAGCACAATAGTAGAATAAATGTAGCATATTGTAGAACGTATATAGCATGATAGCTCGGGACAAAGCAAGAGAGATGTAGCATAATAGTTAGTAGCACAATAGTTAGTATAGGGTATAGTATAATAGTTAGTATGGTGATGGTTGGGACATATCACGATTGGAATATAGCACAATTGTTGGGGTTTATATTGTAATTTGTAGTTGTATTTTTTTTTAATTTTTTTTTTTGTTTTTTTTGTTTTTTTTTTAATTTTTTTTGTCTTTTTGTAATAAATTAAATTGTTAAATATATGAATATTTGAATTTATTGTTTTAATATATGAAAAATTAACTAGTATTTAATATTTAA